ATTAATATCATTTTGTGTATAGAAAATATCTATAATATTTTCTAAATATTATTAGAAATATTTTCTATAAGAAATATACAAGATTATTATTATCCCAATTTTAATCTTTATATTTTATACTACTATAATCTTTACTAGCATAAAGATTGTGGTAGACTCCGGCGTTGTTCGTGTGTCAAAGTTGGAGACCGGAAGCTTGAACGGTTACGTTTGCACTTTCAACGCTCTTCCTACGACTTCTTCGTTTTTACCGCTTACGGAGAAAGGTATAAATTTCTTACTCACTATAAGTTTTAGTACGTGATTCAGGGCAAGATAATCATGTTAGGATGTTAAATTTTTATATTCCGCTGCCTATCCTTGCATGGTTATCTTTCAGAACGGATCCATAGGGCACGCCTTGTTTAGATCAGTGTAGTCCACGCACATCCCCCAAGTGTTTCCCTTCGGTGCCAACACCATGTTGGCCATCCACTCCGGGTACTTGACCTCTCTGATATGCCCAATGCTCTGGAGGGTGGCTACTTCCTTGGAGACAAACTCCCTCCGCTCGGACGAGAGGAATCGCTTCTTCTGCTTCACCGGCCTAGCCTCCAGGTTGACTGCCAAGCGGTCACATATGACCTTGGGGTCTACCCCCGGCATATCCCCGGGTCCCCATGCAAAGATCACGCGGTAGGCGGAGAGCACGTCCACCAAGCGCTTCCGCTGGCTCCCGGTTAGGCTCGCCCCGACCTTCACCTTCCGCTCGGGTGTCCGAGGATCGAGTGCCACCTCCTCGACCTCCTCGGCGGGCTCGGCCTTCGGCCGTGCTTCCAGCTTCCGCATTTCTTCTTGTGCGTACACGACCAACGTCTCATCCCTTGGCAATTTCTTAGTGATTCGGACGTAGCACGATCGAGCTAACTTTTGGTCCTCCCCTCGCCACCCCGATCCCGGACGGAGTGGGGAACTTCATGCACAAGTAGTATGGGGAGATCACACATTCCAAGTCCTCAAGGCCAGGCCGTCCTAGGATCATGTTATGCGCGCAATTGATGCTTACAACCATGAACTCCATCTTCAACTTGGCCTTGTGCGCACCATCCCCTACTATCACGGGCATGGTGACGACTCCTTCGGCCTCGATGGAGTCCCCCGTGAATCCGGAGAGAGGAGTGCGCACGGGCCTTAAATTCTTGCGGTCCAAGTCGAGGTCATGGAAGGTCTTATCATACATTATGTTGACTGAGCTTCCCGTGTCTACCAAGGTGTGGTGCACTATGGCGTCGTTGATTTCTATCTTCATGACTAAGGCATCCCGGTGGGGGCTCGGCAGATCCTTCTCCGTGAATTGGATTTGCTCTCGTCTTCCGAGCTTGGACACCGGCGCTTGTTGAACCTTGGCAACGAAGGCCATGTGTTTCCACTTCTTCCTTTGGGCGGTGGAGTCCCCGCTGATGTTTCCACCATGGATAAATCCCACCGGATATCCTTGCGCTTCGTCCTCGTCTAGATCCTCGGACTCTCGCCCAATGTGCCTCTTCTCGGGGTTCCTTGCCTGCGTCGCCACTGCGACCGGCTCGGTCGGCTTCCTCCACGTTCTCCCTTCCGGCGGCCCCCGAGATAGGGCGACTCCGTCATCTCGTGGAGGCGGCCCCCGGGCGATGAGTCTCTGCATCTCCTTCTAGAGGGTGAACCATTCCTTAGTGTTATGAGTGTTGTTGCGATGATACTCGCAATACTTTGCACCGCTGGACACCGCATAGGTTTCTACGTGCGGGAGCGGGGAGAGAGCCAGCTCTCGACCCGTTCCCATAGGCGCACCCACGGAGTACACACTAGCCGAAGGCGTCCTCGGACCCGCGATGTAGTCTTTCTTCTCCTTCCTCTTCTTCGCCGTCTCCCCTGAATCTGCGGGAGCTCGCTTGGCCGGCGCGGCTTCGGAGTCGGGGGCAACATCGAACTCCTCCTGGGGGGAGGATTCTGGCGGAGCTCCTTCCTCACCTCTCCGCAGGGAAGGGCTACTTGGAACATGGCCACCAAAGCTTGATCATCCGCACCGTGCACATCTCTGGCTTCCTTCTCCCATCAGACTATGAAGTCGCGGACCTTCTCCCCCTTACGGATGCATATGTTGAGCAGGTGGGAGTAAGGCCGCCTCTGCCTTCGATTGGCCGCAAAGTGTGTTATGAACTTCTCTGCTAACGTATCCCAATCGTCAATGGTTCCCTTCGGGAGCCGGTTGAACCAATCACACGCAGAACCCTCCAGCGTAGCAAGAAAACATCGGCACTTGACCTCTCCTGGGGCTACCTCCGCTTCCATGGAAGCGTAGAACTTAGACAAATGGTCTTGGGGGTCCGTCATCCTGTTGTAGGCCTTGATCTGCCACGGCCGGAAATTCACTAGTAGCGGAACCGACATAACCCTCGCAGTGAACGGAGTCACCGTCTGCAAGATGGGCTGGCTGTAAGGAGCCCTGGTCTCTACCCGGCGCTTGAGGTCGGCAATCTCACGAGCGAGCCGAGATACCCCTTGGTCAGAGTCCTGTGCCTTCTCAGTTCTTGTCAAACTGTGGCGACGCTGGTCGCGTTCGTCCCGCCTTTCTCCGTTCCGCTCGGGCCTCGCCGAGCGAGCATCCGATGTCGCAGACTCCTCAGCATGCCTCCGCCTGACTTGGGATATTTGTCGGCGGAGGTCGCCCGGGCGGTCTTCCAGTCCGCGGTTGACGGCCGATATCCGGGTCTCTTCACCTCCTAAACGCTTGACGGCCGACACTCGGCACTCACTGGACTCATCGTCTTCCCCTTCAGGAACGTACTCCACTATCACCTCCTCGAACACTTGGGCTTTGCCGGGCCTCCTCCTATTCCTCCGGGTCTTCTTCCCCTTGTGCTGGGAAGTGGCAGCGTGTTCGGTATGGGGACCGGGTGGAGCTTTACCAGCTCCGGAGCCGGGCACGTTCCCACCCATGGCGGAAAGTGCCACAACGGCTGCTTGGAGCTGCTCCGTGGTCACCCCCAAACCGAACAGTGCCTGGACCGCGTCCGAAGTCGAGCCGATGCCGCCCGTACCGTTGCCGCTGCGCGGTGCGATCTCCTCGCCAACTACTTGGCTGGTGGTGGGGACGTTGCTCCTTGTTTGCACCATTCTCGCTTCCGGGAGTTAACCTACGAGCATGTTTTTCTCCTCTCAATGAGAGCACCAATTTGATGGCTATAAACCACCGAGAATAAAGAATAATTATAAGTTTTAGAGAGAGAGAATGCAAAGTAGGAGTTTGTTTCTTTCAAACTTCGATTCATTACAATGAGGGGTCTCGCCCCTTTTATAGGGGATACAATACACAGTTGAAAGAAAATAACTTGGAAGGAACTGTAAGAAACTGAAAGAAATTGGAAGAAACTTGAATGAACTGGAAGAAACTGGAAGTTAAGAGTTCAATCTCTAAAGAACAAGCTCTAAATCATTTATCTTTTACGCAAAACAAGGTGAAATCTCATTTTTCAATTCATTCTTTTAAGAGTGGTATATAAATAAAAAATAAAACTTACATATTTAAAAATTCTATCAAAAGTTCTACAAAATAAGAGGTGACAAGAATATTTTATTTCATCAAATAGTCAATGAAATCACACAGATAAACAAAAGTTCTCCTAAATTTTGAATAGTAAACTGTGTAATTCGTTTAGAGATAGAGGATGTATGTAAGTTTTATTTTTTTATTTCTATACTAGTATTTTCGACGTACCATGTCTTTTGGTGTAGTCTATTTGTGGTCCCAAATAAAATTATGAAAGAAGTGCAAACGATATGTAGAAACTTTCTTTGATGCTTTCACACGAATATACCTAGATTTCCCTAGTTAGTTGGTAGGATATTTGCTTACCTGTACTGTATATAGAGAGGGTTTGGGGTTCAAAACTTGGTTGCTTGTACTGCTTCTCATTGAGTCAAACTGGAAGACCTTTGAAACAATTTACAAAACTCGATAACGCCAAACTCGACAAGTAATTTGGATCAGAGGGAGTATTATGGGTTAAATAGGTTCCTGGGAGATACCTCAAGAAAATATAATTTTAAAGAAATAAATGTTATAAAGTTTTGTTATTTCAAAATCATGAAATACGAAGTACTCCGTTTAATGTAAAATGAAGTTAAGTTTATTAAATTTATATTTATAACTTAGGGGGTGTATTCGATCTAGATTTTACAGGATTTTTCTATATTTTAAAAGTATGTAGGTATTCAATTAGGATTTTAAAGAATCCTTCAAAATCTGAAAGTATTCAATTTGGATTTTAAAAAATCATTTAAAATCTTAAAGTATTCAATTAAGATTTTAAAATGTTCATCAAAATTTAGTAGTATTGAAAAATCAATGGATTTCCAAAAAAATTTATCAAATAAGGATTCTAAAGGATTTTAGAGTTCTTTTTGTACATAAAATGCTATATACAAATCCCACCACAAATATAGAGATTTTGAAGGATTCTTTCGTATCTTGATATGCTCTTCCTCATCTTTATCTTTTCATCTTCTATATCTTGATCTGCTCGTCTTCCGTATCAATTTGCTCAGCGGCTTAAATCTGTGCACAATCGCCCTGCTCCGGCTAGGCTCTCGTGTTCTCCTGCAACCGCAACGGCAATTGAACCTGTGGTGGCGTTAGGCTGGCTACTTGTAGACGGCAGCGACCCTCCATCGCTGCTTTATTCCAATCGAAACATTGTTGTTCTTTTTAGATCTTTGGTTGTATCGGCTTTTTCGTATTAATCCAATTTCTCCCTAAAATCTTCCGATAAGATTTCTTTTTCTCTTGCTGAAATCTTCCGATAGAATTTCTTGTTCAAAGATGTTGGAGATTTTTTTCCTTCATTGTTGGAATTGCTTTGCACCCAAGCTTGTGTTGGGAAACTGATAAATAATCAAAATAAATACAAAAAAAGGAATAAAGAAAAAATGGCAATCAACAATATGGGCGCCACTTGAAAAGGGAAAAGAAACACATGCATTTGGACAAAATGTGCTGCGTCAACTTTGGCTCATCATCACATGGTGGGGACAGCTAGCTCTTCTTGGAGAATGGATGGATACATGCATTTGGTTCTTATAAATGTGAAGAGAATCAGAGATGAGTAGTGTGTGGTTTACACACCAAGGTAGAGAGAGAAGAGGAAGAGGGTTCTACACAAGAATACCACCGGGAAAATCCAAGGGGTCTTGATGAGTGTGAGTGAGTGTAAGGAGTAACTGGTTTTAGTTACTCGGAAAAATACATCCGGGCATATGATGTGGAAAGATCTGTTTATGAGTGTCTGAAATTTAGTCTTGTAAACAGGGGAGAGTCTTTTGTATATTTTCCTGAAATAGTGGAAATATAATTTTTTTTCTCATATATTCTTCTTGTATTTGTTCTCTCATTTTTCTGGTGTTCTTGTTAAAATTCCGGTGGGCCGAGAACAACGGATAGAGTATTGGGTAAAATTAACCACTTGTATATAAATTTGGGATCCACAATTCTAACCCAAAAGCTTAAGCTTGTGGTCGTGGCCCAGGAATGATTGTTATATACTCTAACACGCCCCCTCACATGCAGGCGTGACTTCTTTGAGCCTTGCACGTGAAATCTTAATTTTTTTAAACAGGGTGGCGGTGAGTTTCGAACTCATGACCTCTTAGTAATCAAGGCTCTGATACCATGTCAAGGAACCAATTCAACCAAAAGCTCAAGCTTGTGGTCGTGGCCCAGGAATGATTGTTATATACTCTAACAGTTCTCAATATTTTTTCAGTGTCTTACGCGCTTAAAATCCCAACAATTGGTATTAGAGCTTGGTTGTGCTGGGCAGGAGAGATTTGTAAGCGGTAAAAAGAGAAATTTTTAGAACTCAGGGACTGGTCGGTTTTGGCCAGAAGGCGACCATGGGACTTCAAGAACAAAGTGGATGGCATGAGGACCGGGTAGGAAGCGTCATGCTGGCTTTGTGAAGTGTGGTGCGGGAACAAGACTTGAGGAGACCGGTGGTCTAGCTGAGTAGAAACTACGGTTTATGTCTTGTGTCGAAAGTCTTCCCGGCAAGAAGAGGTCGGGCGGCGTGTCCCGCAGGTGTTGCTGCGGCGGTGCAAGATGAGCAGATCGATAAAAGCTAATTGCTAGAGGGATGGTCTTAGAGAGTGTTAACAAAGGTGAGTTGTCTCTTTTTTTTAACTCGGGGTGGAGGGTTAAAACTCTAAGGAGCTAAGGTTGTGGCGGTGATCTTGACGGGTTGGTTGAGATGGAGTCACGGGTACAACGATAACTGGAAATGGTGAGGACCTTGTCGTATTGAGCAAGGTGAGGTCACGTCCATGAGTCAATATATGGTGGCGGAGAGCTTGCGTTATTGAGCAAGATAGGGCATGAAAATTCTTTCAAGGTGGTGGTGATCTTGGTGGTTGAACCAAGGTGGAGCACGAGGATTTTTTTCTTCTTTGAGGTTGGCAGAGGTGATCTCGGTGGAGCAGACTAAGATGATGCCAAGGATTTTTTTTTATTTCGGAGTAGCGGTGATCTCACCGAAGAAGTGAGGTGGAGCTACAAACTTTTTTGATTATTTAATCAAGGTGGAGTTTGTTGGAAAATTGATAAATAATCAAAAGAAATAAAAAAAGGAATAAAGAAAAAAATGGCAATCAACAATATGGGCGCCACTTGAAAAGGGAAAAAAAACACATGCATTTGGACAAAATGTGCTGCGTCAACTTTGACTCATCATCACATAGTGGGGACGGCTAGCTCTTCTTGGAGAATGGATGGATACATGCATTTGGTTCTTATAAATGTGAAGAGAATCAGAGATGAGTAGTGTGTGGTTTACACACCAAGGTAGAGAGAGAAGAGGAAGAGGGTTCTACACAAGAATACCACCGGGAAAATCCAAGGGGTCTTGATGAGTGTGAGTGAGTGTAGGGAGTAACTGGTTTTAGTTACTCGAAAAAATACATCCGGGCATATGATGTGGAAAGATGTGTTTATGAGTGTCTGAAATTTAGTCTTGTAAACAGGGGAGAGTTTTTTGTATATTGTCCTGAAATAGTAGAAATATAATTTTTTTCTCTCATATATTCTTCTTGTGTTTGTTCTCTCATTTTTCTGGTATTTTCAATAATTTTTCGGTGTCTTACGCGCTTAAAATCCAACAGCTTGGTGGTTAGGTCTGATTTTTTGTCCGATCAACTTGCCGGGGGTGAGAGCATCATTGCTTCTGATGGATGTCTTCCGATTCAGAAATGAGTTAGAATAAATGATTTTTGGACTTTTAAAAATCTAAACAAATTCTAACAAGTCTTGGTAATCCAATGCATTAGAATATATTCAAATCTACGTAGAATTTAAACAATCCATAAATCTTACATAATCTATGGATTATAAAATAAGATAATCATTTAAAATCTGAATTGAATAAACTTCCCTAAATATCTTCCCTCCATCCTAAAATGATCTTTTTAGTTACTATTCATATGCTTAAATTTTAATCACTTTTTTTAAAACTATTTTCGCTAGTTATTTGATTAAATAATATACTCACGTCACATCTTGTTTTCTGGAACTTTTGATGTAGTTTCAAAATATATAATTTTTATATTTAAATTTTATAACTATAATCAAATAAATTGAATTGAAAATAATTACAGTCAAACCTTGTAAACCGAACTGTGACTTTCATTTTAGAATGGAGGAAGTAATTTTTTCATTAGGAACATCTATTTATGAATAGCTAAATTACTAAATAATTTTTTAAAAGCTAATATATGCAATTGGTCATAATAACTAACTCAACCCGCCATTTAATCTGCTAATACAAACTATTACTCTCTCTGTCCCATTTTAATTTGCATGTTGTTGTTTACGATATTTGACTGTATTTATTTTTCAATGAATTTATATAAAATTTAGGGCATAACTAAAATAAAATTTTATATATTCAAAACACTATATCAAAAAACAAAATAAGAAGTGATCTGACTATGTAATTTTATCTTTTCAATAACGAAAATGAGTAAGAAAAGTAATAGAAATTTGACACTATGAATAATAAACAGATCATTTAAATTGGGACAAATTGACCATTAATATCTATATTTATCCATATATATATTTTATAAAAATTTGATATTTGAAAATTACGTTTCATTATGAATATATTGATATTAAATTTTGCATCATAATACAATGCGTTTTTTATACAAATCGTAGTCAAAATTTATAAACTTTGACCAAGAAAAGTCAAATGTGAAGAACATTTCTGGACGGAGGGA